ATGACCTTCGCTAACAAATCGTTGTAGCCAATTGCAATAATTCATGCGAACAGCCCGTTCAGGAACCTTAAGCTCCTGAGATGTCCGCTGTATGCACGCATTTTAAATTTTGTTGTGGGAGAGGGTGCACTTTCATAAGAAAGATTACATTGTAACTGAAGCTTCCTTAATGATGTTTTCGGGAAAGTTGAAAGAACATCCTGAACGAGTTTTCGCTACGTGAGCACTGTATTTCAGTGACGGCGATTCCGCGTTAAAACACGCTCCCTGGCTCACGATAGCACTTCACTAACTGAAGTTAGTACTCTCGTTCGGAAGAGACTCAGATTAAAATTTTTCTCTGAAAGCTGCCTGCCATTCTTTGAAAGATTGCGTTCGGAAATACTTTTCCACCCCAAATCTGCGTTTCTCTTTGCTGAGGCGCATCGTATGTTAACTTCTAAACAGTAGATGAAGACGCAGCCTGTTTTGCATTGAGCAGGTATGACCGACCCAGACCACAGGAAGGGGGCGAGTGACGAGACTGTCGCCGAAATGCAGTCAAAGGAGCTGTCACGGAAGTAGTGTTGCAATTCTTCCACTTTTCTCTCAGTGCCTCGAATAGCGGTGTAGCGTTATAAACTGATCACTCGGCACAAAATGGAGAAGATGGAAGATGAAGAAAGTAACAAAGAGAGTCTTCCCTGCATTCTCCTGTCAGAACGTGGATCTTTCCAACTCGACGGTGATTTTTACTGAAAATGCAAGTATCTGATTATCTTCTTCTTTGGTCCTATCTTCCATATACGGAAGTTAGGTGACCCATAACGGGTTTTCTTGAGATAAATTATTCAGAGTGGTTTCCCGTTGCCTTCCCTGATATGATGATGATGATAATAGGCGGTGAAAGGACGAACACAATACAACCATGCCCGAGGCGGGACTCCTCGCGATCTTTCGGTACGAGATCGCTACGGCACTACTGCCTTAGAGATCTCGGCCACCGGATCGGCTATTTGATTATAATATTCCGCAATTTCTCTTACCTGATGTATTCACACACGCGCGTGTGCACGCCAGACAGTACCCTAACAAACGGGATGTGAACTGCGTGCTATCTTTCCTTCCTTTTCCTTGTCCATCGTATCCTCACCCCTACGTCGGGAGCTTAGAGTTTGTCTCGGCAGCAGCGGTGTCCCGCTGGTGGGAGATACTTGGTTGGGGAAAACTCCGCTAGTCGACTTGTAGGTTGGCGCCTAATCTCATCGCCTAGTGGGGAAGACCACCGCTAACTCACGAAGAAAGCGTGCACTACACTTACGAAACTACAAGTTAAACGTATAAATTCAAACCATGAAGTCTTACAGACATCGTGATTCAAATACTACCTTCAAAATTTTATGAGTTTATAACATAGTATATATGAGGGTGACAGCGCAATAGTGGCCTATCCCACATTTTTAGGAAATTGCGTTCTCTGTGTTAATCACATCTTAATCTCCCTACGAGTAACTTCAACGTGTAACAGTTTAAGCATGTTCGCGTCGTTAGTTTTCAAGTTATAATTACAAAAAGAACTATTGCACTCAGCTTACGATTACATTTCTTTGTGCAATAGTGGCCTAAGCACAGGGGATGCTGTTTTACACAAGATGTAATCCACCACAAATGTTTAGTCAGTGGTCATTCTTACATAATATCATAAAATGAAAACACAAATGAGTGTTTAATTTTGCCAATAACTTCATCAGCCATTTTCTCCAAACACAGGATCTGGGGATAGGCCACTATTGCGCTGACACCCTCATATGTAGTTATGTATTTTGTATAATGTGTTATATTTTATACCTTTATGGTCCATGTCAGATACGTAGCCTACTCCTTGAGTGCACACGGCTCCGGCTTTGATTTTCAAGGGACATTCGAATTTTGTAAGAGTTCTACATTAAGATAATTGCAGATAATATAATTCCATTCATACAAAATGAAAATGGATTCCAAATTAATGATGATCACTAGAGAGACAGAAGTTTCGCGAAATGCCTTTTTATTATTGTTACTATTTTATTACTTTTACGATAGGTATCACTTAATTGTGTTACTGGAGTTATTTTAATAGATTTTCATTTTGCCTTGTTTTAGCTTCTGATGCCTATTTTGCCATTTACCCCTTTTGTGACTGGTACTTCATTATTTTGCTTATGTTCTCTCTTGGCAGAGATTTCAATCAAGCTGGATTCTGACTGGCCCTCCTCTTTTTACTCTTTAGATTCCTCTGAATACATTGAAATAACAATAAGATAAAGGTTGCACGTAAGGCTCTTTGATTCAACAATCTGACGGTCGCTACTCCTCGTATCTCTTTCAATTATTTGTTTCAATAAACATTCGATTATTTACGCAACCGTAAATACGTAATTACGCCCATAGGTCGTATCAAAGTGGTCCAGTCATGATAATGTTTATTTAGCGGTTCCGAGAGGCTGCCTATACAGGATCTCGGCGGGGAAGTATTTACGTACGCTATTGTTTATCTTGTCATTCATGGGATTAGGGATACTCCTTGCTGTTGCACATGAATAATACTACTACTTACTTGTGTGGAAGAACAGATATTGTATTCTACAAGAAATATACGCATACAAAGTCTCAATTCTAAACAAATATCAACACATCACAGGATTTCTCATGGTTATTTGTAGATGATGATTTTGCCTTCCCTCCCTTAATGCATGGCCATCTACCCCCATTGAATATTAAATTAAATGTTACTTTTAGAACATAATTTGATCTTCCTACACAGGTGAAATTAAACAAAATGTTCCCCATTGGTTTACTTCCCTTTCGTAGAATGGCTGCATTCTTGACCGTCGTCCCTAGTTCGTTCCATTTCCATTTAGTTGTCTTAGTCCACACCAATCAGTTGAGCTTCAATGCACTCATTTGTATTTTAACTCCATGTAATATCAGTATATTTTCATATTAACTCCGAACTTTTCCTAATAAATACTTATAATATAATTACAAATTCATTACTTTATTACCCACGTTCCAAACTATCAAGTGAAAATTATATCTTACGTTCGCCTCCAACTTCGCAACATCGGAATTCTCGTCCTCACATCCAATTGCTACCGGGTCCAAGAATCGTCTGCCCGGTTTGTTTATTCTACGCGCCCTTCATTTGTCCCAGTGTGCGAACCACCAACAATATACTCTCTGGTGCGAACTCGAACGCAAATGCGTCTTTTCTGCCGTCTTCGGCGCATACATCACTCGAACACTATCCATTGTGATTCATTGGTCATGCAATCATTTTCACTAATTTATGCCCCGCTATGTTCGTATTTACTTTTATCATGTATCATTTTGTTCACATTTCTTTTCTTTTGTGATAACCTATCACAGGATATATATTACCTGCAATATATTACAATATATTACCTACAAGGAATACCTGCAAGCCTGGACAACTTGATCAATCTTCATTATTAATTTTTGACTATAATTCGCTTTAAATATAATTTCTCATAGTTAACGCGTCTTTTTGCACCCCTACTAGATATAGAATAAATGCCTTTTTTCATCTGTGTTTTAGTAAAAATAATAACATTTTAGCCAGCATATTATTGGTAAAATGAGTGCCTGAACTTCCGAACTCTAGTGATCACATTCCAGCACTTCGTCACAAGCACTATGTTTGGGCATGTTTTAAACCAGTTCATTCTATGAGTTTTGTTGTTTTTGTAGCTACTATTAGTTATTATGAAATAGAAGAATTTTATTTCAAAAATTTAATTTGCCCTGTACCTTTTGCAATAATGAAAAATATGAAGAATGAATTTTTCAGGGATGTATGCTCTCTTAGTCTGAAATTTTTAGCACATTCATAGTTTTGCTTTTTAAATCTATATTCAATAATTGCTTTTTGTGTGGTAAATGTGAAGTAATTGGTCAGGAGACGAGACAATTTTTTGGTTCCTGTTTAAAAACAGCAGATGGAGGGGGAAATGTTAACTACAACTATCATTAATGATGATTTGGAACGATATTTAGCACACATTATTATCTGAAAATTGCTGAATATTAGTTTCCTTGATCCCAAACATATTCTACACAGAATCGGTTCAAAACATCAGGAAGATTTAAAAAAAAATCTTATTCCTCAATAGTCTTCTGCAAAACTACTTATTTTTTCAAAAATTTGTACATAAAATGATTTGAAGATATTATATAAAGGAATATTTCCATCTTTTTCTTTCCCAAAGAAATCTCTACCTTCAATTTTAAAGGTTGAATACAAGTTTTTTTTAAATTGAAGTTCCGCAGTCTTCAGAATTCTTGGTTTTACTGAAAATAGGACCCATGTTATCAAAGAATGTTACTCCATTTGAACAAAAAATGTAAAGAAAAAATTAAGAGCTACTTTTGACAAAATTTGGTTTAAAGTTAGTACATGTAACATTAGAGAATTTTCTATAATAATTCTCAAAAATATTTTTTCTTGTATTCCCATCCCTGCATTACTAATTGATCAATCAGGAATAGAAACAAAATATATTTATGTAAGCAACATATTGCACATACCAGTGAGCACTAATACAAACCTCCTGCAAGATTTTTCTTACTCTTTAAATGCTCATTGAAGACAGCAAATATTAGACAGCTACCAATGTTTCTAAGACTTCAATAAAGTCAAAAAATATATTATGCATTCGGATTTATTTATCATCAAAACCGTAATAACGGTATGAAATGTAAGAGGGAAAAGTAGGAATTTCTGTATGCTTTCTCGAGCACCAGAGTCCTTACTATTTTAATATCTAATAACTTTGATGGAATTCAAATCCCTCATATTTGTGCAATATCCTTTCCAAGATATTACTTATTTGCAACTTAGATGGTAAGAATACATCTTGAATTGGTCAATGTTGAATCAATATTTAATTATTTTTCTATCTCATTTTTTTCAAGAAGTATTTTAGAATCTCAATTAGGATTTTAGAAAAATAAATTATATGATCTCAACAAAACACATTTTATTGTTTCAAAGTTTACAAAGTGTTGAATAAGAGAAAGAAATGTAGGAGAGATTTCTTTCACAGATACTAACTCTTACTAATAAGACTATCCAATGAGCAGGTTCTGTAAAGATATGCAGCTCTTGGAGTCCCAATTCTTATTAAGACACTATTCCTTAAACTGAAGTTGTCATTCCTGAATTTCTCTACCTCTTTTTCCAAAAATATAAATCAATAATCACAATATTAACCAAACAACTATAAACAAAACAAACAAATCACACATAGATTTTGACTCCAGAAGCATGAACTTATTTCATAACGAGGGTATTGAAAATGAGTTGAGGTTCCATGAACATAAAGAATTATTTTATTAAAATTCTCTTCATGTAAATCATCAAGTGGAGAATATACTGTTTTCACAAAACATTTTTACACTTTCTCTATTACAACTTTTCAAAAACAGAAATTTTGAGATTGTATGCTAAATTAAACTTCATAATATTCCTCAACAACAAAATAACTTTGCATGAAATAAGAACACACAGCAATCTCCATTCTGTTATCAAACCCTGTAGAGCAAACTTGGTTAATGTACCAGCATCAACACAGATTCTTACCTGATGCGCTGAACATATACATTTTATTTGTATAAAAATGTTTATTTATATCATCATGTCTGGAAATACAGTTTCATATCCAGTGATATATGAGTTTATTTACAATTACAGAAAAATCAATGGCTTTACGAAATGCATTTATACCAGACCTGCTGATATATAAATTGCAAAATATGGTTCACTGCATGTGATTTCAATTCACTTACACTACAGTTAACTTTACTTATTGCATAATGAAATAGTACAGTGGATCTCAACACTTCGCAGTTTGTGACACACTTTCCTGTTGTTTGGAATTCCACATCCCAGAGGTTAAATATCCATTCTTTGGGCTTTAAAAAATAAATATATATATATATATATATATAAACCCGAAAAATTGGAGTAAGCTATGCAATTCTTACCACACACAGAGATTCAGATTACCCTGAAATTCATTTGAACACGTGTACATACTTACACATGTACAGATCAAGAGCAAAACGTGATTGTGTAATGAAAAAGAAAATTACTCAGTAACATTTTGGCAATGAATTCGAGACTTTAGCACCTGAGAAGGATCATTTAAAATTATTTTGCAACTTTCCAGTGTATCATGACAACGTTCTGGTTGAGAGCCACTGAAGTAGTAAGTCTTTTTAACACTGAGGAGTACTTGCAGGTGCTGACTTACAGTAAACTCTAAAGTGATATTTCAGGAAAATGTAATGTAACAATATAATAAATAAATCTACTGACATCAGTGCACTCAAATATTATTGGAAATCTTGACACGACAATTTGCAAATTATTTAACGCAAAATTAACTTTGTGATTTGTGATTCCAATCACCCAATAACAAAAAAATTTGATGCTATCTCTCTCTAAGAGAAAGACAGGAATAAAAAAGTGACTTAACAAAAGTTGAAAATATAACTGTATATAATATTCCCTATATAAGATGTAAGTAGTGTGCCACTTTTAGCTTCAAACAAAGCCTACCCTTACACAATTTTTTTCTTTTAATGTCAGGACATCTGATGATTTAATTCTGTTTTAATTAAAAGTTCTACTGAACTATTTCATTACTTATTACATTATTTCCGGGTAAAGATAGTCTCAGTCCATACCAACTGCACATTTTAAATTCAATATACTGTGAAATTTTTCTTTGTTCTAGATTGGAAGATGTGGATAAACCATAACAAATTATTCTTTAAATACCGACTGAGGGTTTTCCAAAGAAAATAGTAAGTCATTTTATAGTTTTATATCTTTTTTAATACATGTAACTATTTTATTTCTCTATTTTATGATTTTGTGAATGGGGGAAAAAAAGAAAAAGACCACCCAACACAACAAACAAACACTTTTAGTATGCTGATGTACATTACATGGCCTGAGCACAGTAACCGAACTTATGTTATCAAAACTCATTGAGTAATCTGTTTAAATAATGTAATTTGCAACATTAAAAACTGTCTTTAATAACTGAGATTTTTTAACTTGAAAATAATTTAACAAAGCCAGTGCATCCTTAAAATTGCATATTTCATACTTAAAACAAAGATGAAGAAAGACAGAGAAAAAAGAAAATTCATACCATATTCTTTGCTTTTTCATGAATACTTCATACACATAACGCAATATTCTGAAAATTGCTACTGAAAATGTTGAGTTTTGGCTTATCCACACAACAGAATGAGTCAAACAACAAAAAATTGGGAGTTGGGACTATGCAATTGATATAAAAACTCTGTACTACTAAGCATCTTCAGTGAATACAAAGCAGAATGAAAAACCAAAATAGAATAAAAAGAAAAATTAGTTACAAAATATTGATATTGATTTAAATTGACTTTGTACACCAATATAATTAATAAATTGTTTGTTTGTACACATAAGACAGTCTTTTACAAACACTGAACTTTCAAATTTTTCTTTCAGGCTGGAAAAAAAAAAGTTTTTCAAGATTAAAAATAAGACAAAAGTAAAAAAGATTTTATTTCAAAGAGAGTTATTGAACGAGGTTTCTTCATCTTTTTCTATTTTTTCTTCAATATACTTTACATTGTAGTTCTGTAAATTTGAATTATATGTAATTATTTGTTATTTGTAATGAGGTGCACTGAGGAACCCAATGAGCCATTCAGCGTTAATTTTTTAAAAATATGTGTGAATTCATTCTTGTTAGGTACAGTAATATTTAATTGAAATTAAATTTTACTTTTTCTTAAATAACCCTTTTTCAAACTATTTATACAATTGAAGCTAGTACACTTTTCTTTACATTGTTAATGAAATGGTTAACTGATTTTACTGATAAACATAGATATGGATCTTGAAAATAATAAATGCAAGATAGGTTTGAGTTTCCAATTCAGAAATTCTGCTTGGAATAGGATTAAATAAGATTTCTAGGATATTCCAGAAAATTGAAACTAAACCAAATAGTTGCTCACAAATACAATAAAATATGGACATCTTTGCTATCTAAATCATTACTACAACTAAAATGCCCCAAATTCACTAGTAAAATCTAAGAAATTTTGAAATAGTTACAAGGCTAATTGTACAAATGATTGAACACTGTTGAACTGAGACATTCTACCTTAGTACACAATAGACCAACAATTAATAATGTTTGTTTTCCAATGTGAAATTAAATTAAAATTAATATTAATTATACTTTTCAGACCAACATCAGTAAATTTGATCAGAACTTACTTATCCCTTTTACAGTTGGTCAGTTTCTCAAAAATAAATATCTTGAGGATCAACAATTCTATGAGCAATAACAATTAACCATTCACAGAAGTACGACAGTAGCAAATACAGTTTTTAGTATAATTATAAATCTGACATTAATTACAAATATAACATATCATATATTGGAAAAATTTACACACCTTTCAATCTTTAGAAAAGACAGATTCAATTCCTCATAGAGTAGAATGTAAGTGAAATTAAGTAAGAATTAAAATATTTGAATCATGTACATGGTAAATTGGTTGATATGGACTAGAATGTCAGAATTGCATTAGAATGCTTAGAACATTTTGAAAATGTAAAGATTATTATTGACTAATTTTTATACATGTTTTTATATAATATATAAATAAATATACAAAGAAGATTGAGTAATTCATTATTTTCTATTAGGTCAGAATTCCCAAAACTTTTGGAATGAGAATACTATTAAAGTTCTAAAACATTCTTATTCAAAGTAAAAATGGGAATATTAACTTAAAAACTTACAATTTTGAAATGATCTGAAGCTGTAATGACACACTAGGCAAAAAAAACAGTAAAAATAAAATAAATATTAAATAACTTTTGCTTTACATCCAATTCCATAATTCCAAATTACATTAACTGAAACATTTCACCTGTCAATATAATTTGATTTTGAATAACTTTACTAAATAACAATTGCACAAAATATTTTATTAACAAGCCTTTCCATAAATCTTTTACATGTAACAATCCCTAACACTAGACAATTCCCTGGTAGGAAGTTGATCAGTGGTTCCCAACACAATTTGCCTCAATTTTAATGAAAAAGATCAAACCAACAAAGTGCAATTGAGACAAGAGGTAGATTAAACTCATCAAGTGTACCTAAATATGCAACATTTTAAGAGAAAGAAATATTTTTTGAAGACTCATTTGAAATAAATTCAACAAACCAAGATACAAAAGCTGTAGGGTGAAGATATAAGCCATAACTGCGAGAATCAATTTTTGTAGCATATTTTAAGATCAAAAGAGTCTCAGTGAAAAACTAGATCAGGTTTTTAAAGTGAATTCAATTTTGTAAATAGCAAGAATTTAACATCTTTTAATTCCACAAAATTGACAGGAATTTTTTCATAACAGATTGTTGAAGTTTCTGTAAAATGTTTTATGAGGCACATCAAGCACCCTCAGCTACGAAGTTGAGAACCACCTTTCTAGAGATTAATATCTAACATACAGTGCTCTCTCCACTCATAACAAACTTTCTCAAAAACTTATTAAATGGAAACACACACAAGACACAAAATACTTCACAAAACACTGTACCTCACTTCCCCGTTTCTATTGAGTTTATTACAAATACATAGAGCAAATATCCTTTTCTATTCACACTTTAATTAATAAACTGTCCTAATATTACCTATAAAGGCCACCAGATTTGAGTGAAATACAAATATACAGCATTTCAACTTAAACTCAGGACTCAATCAAGTGTCCCATTTTTAGTTACTTCTTTATACTAAGACTAGAATAACCTGGTTGTTACTAATAAATTTTATATTAGTGTTACCACATAATAATAGGTCTCCTTTTAACAAGAGAATGTAATTTTTTTGTTAACAAGAAAAATTCTGTAACACTGCCCTCTGCGTCTAGTTTAAATCATACAAAGGCGCACAGCACTAATTGTAGTAAGTTGTTCCTGAAACGGTCTCCATTAGTATAATATAAATCAAGTGATTGTTGACAAAATACGTACTAATCACATGTTGACAGGCCCTATAATGTTAACAGTTGATTGTACTTAGTCAGTTCCAGCACATTCAAATGTATTCAACCTCATACTGTTTTACAAGCAACCGTACTAATGTCACCTACTACATAAATGTATTGAACAACTCATTAGTTCTTATTAAAACCACTCATTAAACACAACATCTCTGACAGATACATTCATTCAGATTTGTGCAGAAAATAATTCCTGGATAGATACTTCGCATTCAGTTTCTCAATGTGCAAATTTTAAAAACACTTGTTCCAATGTTGTTTGACTGAAGCTATACTCTTCAATATCTAGATCCATTTTGGCTGCAATTTTAAAAAGCAATATATTACAAAAGACCCAGAGCAAAGTAACGTAAAGAGACAGAAATATTTTGATGAAAGCTTTGCTAAAGTAACAAAAAAAAAAAAAAAAAAAAAAAAAAAAAAAAAAAAAAAAAAAAAAAAAAAAAAAAAAAAAAGTGAAAATGAGGAACAATAACGATGCCAACCGAGGCAAATGAAATACTTAGAATACAATATATTTCGCATTTATATAACTTGATTTAATATCGTATATATTTCACTTTTGATTCAAAAGTATTGAGTGTAAGTAGATGCAGGTAGGATTATACCAGGCTGTTTCCTATTCTAGAAAGTTTAGTTATGGGTGAATAGAGGCTATATCATATCCTGTGTATTGAAATTTTAAATGTTTTCTTATTTCATAATTTGTACATTAGCTCATTTTCAATGAATAAAGATTTTAATTAAGGACATGATATCTCATCAATGATAACTTTATGTAGAATAGTTTCTATATCGGCATAATCTCTAATTGATTACAACGTAATATAATTATTAATCAGTTCTTTCCTTAAGTTAACGAATTCTGGAAAGAAACGTGAATTCTTGCGATGAATATTTTATGGAACAATTGATGAACAAAAGAAGTTGAAAAATTGATGTCGGTGAAATAAAGAAATCAAGAGAATCCAGTGCTAAAATTTATAATTTTCAATACGATCCACCATAATGTTTTATTTAAACACGTTTTTTAGTTAGAGGCTTTGTACTTGAAGCTCTTTCTCTCCACAGCCAAACATGTGGAAGATTTTAAAAAATTACTCCCTAATTAAATTTTTTACAAATAAAAATACTTCTAAATAAACTATGATTTTTTTTTTTAATGGTTTAGTTCATTTGTATTACAATTTCCCATTGCTCAGAATGTTTATGCCTCTTTTTTTTATTATGTAGTTTAATTAAAGAAATTGAGCGTCTTAATACCTACCTTTCTCCAGTTGCTTGAAGCACTGGGCCAGCGATGTGACAGAACTCTGAGGGACACTAAATACCAATCGGTCAGCAAAGCTTTCATCTAAACTAGAATTCTTGAACTGGTGTTTTACAAACTCTTTAAGGTCTTTTGAATGATCAGATGAAGGGGTGGTGGGTGTACGATCTCCCCCTTTCAGCTTCATCTCTAAACGATAACCAGCACCATATCTATTCTTTAAATGTTGAGTAGATCCAATGCATCTGTAGAAAGCAAACTTTATTTAATCAACATAATCAAAATTGATTTTATTTAAATCGCTCTTACATAATCTATAACACAATATAATTTTGACAATCCATACCTTATAGCTCCCAAAATAAGTTTATTCATGCTTATTAATAAAAAGGAGTGATAAATTGTTAAATTTCACCAACATTAGAAAAGAAGAATTGTCAACTTTAAATAAATGGAAAATATTAATTTGATGAGGAAATTATATTCTTCATGAGGAAGAAACAGCAAGAAACAACAAATGATGTTTCATTTTGGAAAACTGTCCAGAAGAGAAGGAGCACAGATTTAAGGCAATACATATTGTTGTGTGTGAGGAGTTAGATTTGTGACAAAGTCAAGAACATTGCAGAAGCAATGTAGTTAAAAGTTGAATTATTATGGTATTTCTAATTTAGTGTTAAAAAGTGTGAATAGTTTAGTCACGATTCCTTTGGGTAGTATTTATTTGTACACATTCATGCAGTGATCACTCTTATGTGTAAGTGTGTGTAGCACTGAGAAGCAGGGTATAGAATAAAATTCCCTTGTAAAATTCCAGTACTTTGTATCACATATCTTCCACATTCAGTGAAACTTCTATTAACTTGGCCACTATCGGTTCTGTGAAAAATGTGATCTTTGACAGGGGTGATCTGCTTAATAGGGGAATCCATTTGTTTACAAAAAATGGCTTGTTAATACTAGACTTGAGATGTTTGTAAAAATGCCCAATATATCGGATGTTTATGGAACTTTTTCAGTACCTGAACACATTTTTAAAAAATTAAAAAACATTCTGACTAAGTTTGACTATGTCTTTTTTATGTAAATGTCTTCTTAGAATTATATACAATCTTTTAGAAGTATTTAAAAATATTAAATCTCCTTCTCTTGGGTAAAAATAAATTTACAGTTTCAGTGGTCCCAAAAGTTGTGCACAGGTAACGCACCTGCGTCTTTTTGTGTAGACTGAATTTGACATCAGGATTTGGACAGCATATTCTTTGTCTTATGGGCTCAAAACCTTGCTTTTCTTGAACTTCTTTGCACAATTAAAAGAAATCAAGAGATGGGTCTTGGGTGAATGCAATACATATGCAAGAAAAACACTTGTGTGTTACGGGGCAAGTTGATAAACTTGACTTCTGATATTGATATTCAACCATTTCAGATGTACTTCCACAAAGGTAGTAGTAAGAACTTCCAGTAAGGAAGAATGTTAATTCAAAGAATAAATAAATAAAACTGAAATGGAGTGAGCAGCCATATTTCTATATTAGTGGCCAGAGTTTATTGTTACTTGATTTAATTCAACGAACGAATAAATAAAATTGAAATGGAGTGAGCAGCTGTGATTCGATTTCGGTGGCCACAGTTTATTGTTCCTTGATTTAACCCTTTCAGTCACCATCTTTTAGTTTTAGTGATAAAAAATTGAAATTTGGTATACAATCTAATTTAACATTAGATTAATGTCTGTCATCACTAAATCTCAGTTCACGTATGTCCAAAATTTGGTTGTACTATATATAGGGTACTGTGACTAAAACACTTCGTGAGAATTGAGTCTTTTTGTGGACAAAGACATTACCAAGAAATGAGTTACGTTATTAATTAATTACGTTTTTAATTATTCTTAGGCACAAACATAAAAAAGAATATTTATTGATAATTTTAACAAAAAATGCTAATTTTTTTTCAAGTTAAATTATCATTGTAAATATATTTTTTTGAAACGGTATCATCCTTCATGATACACACAACGTTATGTTACATTTTATGCATTTGACAAAAGTTTTGGTATAACAACTTTGAAATTTACAACGGACTTGACCTTTTACATCAAATTCGTGCACGTGGTTTATGCCATCGAATTGTATTTCTGCAATGGCGTAGGGTATTAACTGATGTCCCTGCAGTTTCTCTGACCGAGAGATCCTAGGTTCGAGTGGTGGAAGATACCTGGTTGGGGAAGACGCTGCTAGCTCCCGGATCTTGCCATACAGGTGGGGGAAGACCACTGCCACCATCTGTGTAAACATGTACTACACTTACAGGACTAACATATCTAGTTGTCGACGAGCCCAGAAACACTAACAATCAATCTTACAGAGAGAAAATCTTGCAGAGCATTGGAGAATCATAAACTTGAAGTCTAACAAGTTACTTATTTTTGTTGGAAAATAGTCTATTTCATTACATTCTGAACCTGCTAGATCCTCAGTTTCTGTTATCACCATTTTCTACAATTGAAAGAGTTTTTCTCCTGATATCTTTTTTCTTTAAGATCTCTCATCAATAAACCAAACAAAATCTTCATCCATTTTCACTATGATCTCACTAGTTCTTACGTGGTCAACTCTTCAAAGCCCTCAAATCACCTTCTGAGAATCGATAATGGTACACTTATATAGCTTACAACAGAGGCAACAGGAAGTGCGCCACTGCCATTGCCCCACAGCCTAGTGACACCCCTGTGCCATTCGGCAAAGAAATTACTTTCATTAGCCGCTTGCGCCATCCCGGTATCGAGAGCATCTCATATATTAGGCGAGTAAAAGTGTCTTCAGAGAGTGGGTCGGAGTTATAACCAAAAATTTTGACAAAAGAATGGAGGCAAATATAACATCAGCTGTGGGAGTATAAGAATAAAATAGAAAATATTTTAATTTCAAAAATTGTTGCAAATAATGTGTGAACAGTCAGGAACACAAAGTAAGTTTGTTGTAGAAACTTTTGAGCATTTTGTCTTACGTTGTTCTTTTAATTATATGCATCCAGGTTGTAGCATGTATGCAATGTTGAATTCACAAGTGTTTGACATGAGAACGACCATTGAAACAGTGTTAAAAACTAAGGGTTGTACAAATATTGCATCGGGTTAACATTACTTCTCTGCCATTCTTTTCTATCTAAAAACTAACTCAATTTAAAGTAACACAATAATATGCTCTCATAACGCTGTAAAACTTATTGTCATTTATTTAAATTTTATGTATCTACTTTCTTATAAATAAAGGTGAAAAAATATAATTAAAAATTTAATTCTAGATGTATTTATTACTAGACTTCAGATTTTTGTACTCTAAATTCTCCCTAGGTACCTAAAACACGCTGTTGTAAGGTGATAATCCACAATATCTTAAACAAACAGTGCACATTGAGATGAAAATGACTTCAGAATATATTTTATTTACACAATTAAATACTTTGAAATTCTTGGAATATTATTATTTTCCTTAAATGGTCTCACAATATAGAACCAAAACTTCTTGTAAATTATGAGGTTGGAATCTTGTGTCATTTATCACTTAATTTTAAAAGCAAAAATGATCTTTCTATTTCTACACTTGTGTCTGGAGCTTACTTTCATTTTGGAGATAATTGGTAGTAAACTAATTGAGTAATCCTGTGAGGTTTCACACAGTGGAAGTTTTGATACAGTGCGACATCATGATTGGTTGAATAGTTCATTGAACTTTATCTCAGATCAAGGTTAACATAAATGCTCAATTTAAGATGAATGCACAAATGCTCATTATTTCAGCATTGAAATCACAAGTCAGCAGACACAGAGATCAAAACAGAAAGACAGATTTTACCACTACTTTCTTTGGTAATCCTATATAAATTCACATATGTTCTTTTCCTTCAATAATTTTCTGATCTCTTCATTTCTGTGTCTGTCACGGTTTTGATACTCCAACCACATGTCTTACAATCCTTGTCTGAGTTTCTTCCAATCTTTATATGTCTATAAAGATGCTTACAAAGATATTTTTCTATGTATACAATGATTCTCAGTAAAAAAAAATATATATATTTTAGTATTTTAATTTCTATCTGTGTTCCTTTTAATGCCTCCTTTTATATCTTTTAACAGTTTTTATTAAACAGTTTGAAGTAAAATAAAATGTATGTTGATAAACTATGTTCATGACAATTCTTACAATTAACAATTACAATTTTTGTAGCCTAGTTTTGTCTTTTAAGGCCCTATTTTAGTCACCAAAAATAGTAGACGTAGGAGCCTAAATATTCAAAGCCTAGTAATAGAGCAAAGTGAAGCCCACAAGGTCTGCAAGAAAATTTTGTTCCAGAGGCTACTTTTGTAATATAATTTAAACATTGTAATAGGAATGATACATGACTACATACACAAAAGAGTGTTTTCCTTACAGAAACAAAGAACATACCTCAAACTGCCACCAACCATTATTGCTACTCTTGAGCAAAGGGCATCTGCTTCCTCCATGGAATGTGTTGTAAGTATAGCACCACGAGTGCCCTGCAAATAAAAATTCTTGTACAGTCAAAAATCTTTTCAGCTGCGGTTCAGAGATATTTGCACAATTCAGATTAAAGTTGATATAGCAGACATGGTAAAACGATAAAGGATCTATGTTCACCAATGTATTCAAAATGGTATGAATTGTCATTGTGATATAAATTCAAAATTCAAATAATTATTTGGACAATCTATTAATAGGCCACTCAGTGAGAAAGCCAAATTATTAGGGTCAGTGCACCAATTATCGTCCCTGTGCATAATATCACCTATTCGTGTTTCTGTGGTGCCAGGCACTCCACATGTGGTTTCTTATGTGAAACTTATGGTTGTGGTATATAGATACATGCAGCACTAACCATTAATGTAATCTTTTTCGTAAAATCTACAATATGGTGTCTGAAGGTTATTTTGCTCTTGTGAAGCTATTTTTCTTCTGCAATCAATCAAGTATATTTTAAGGTAAGTCAGTTCATATCACAATTTAATTAACATAAACTAATAGTGCTTTAAATAAGGAATCAAAAAATGTAATTACTCATGATGTATTTTTTAGTACTGAAAAACTCTGTTTCTGATGCTTAGTAATTTGCATTTATGTGGTACAAAAGATGTGTTCATAGCATCGTCTATCAGCAATATCCAAATTCCACCTAGGTAGGCAAAACTTAGATAATTTTATATTTTTTTTATTTTTCTCATGCCAATTTTTGAAATAAATATAAATAACAAATAAAATTCCCTAGATATGAAAATAAAATGAAGGTCTGTAACATGCAACCGGATTTTAGAAGCTATTTTCCTTTTCGTCCATGAAGTGTGAAGACCCAATCATAAAAAGTATTAACTTTTGATGATGGGGTCTTCACAGAATCCTACTTCATAGTAGAAAAGGAAAATAGCTGCTTAAGTTCGGTTGATGGTGAGCCACATAATGACAGAATTTATTCATTTTGTCAACCAGTGAATGATGACATGTTGGCCATGCAGATGGATATTAAACATAAGCAGAATGCAAGAGAACAAACCTTATACCCATCTGATTCAATAATTGATACAGTGATTAGTGTGATCATGGTATCACCTCAGGGTATAAGAGTGGTACCTCAAATAAAACCACCTTCATGAAAATGAATGGGTGGAGAGAGTGTAGTTTTAACCAGCTCTCCATACAAGAAAAAGCTGGAAAACTTTTATTATGAAAAGCAAAATAGTTTGCTAAATAGTCCTAAGCCACCAACCAGTGAAAGCAAAGAAAAGACACATGTGGCCATAAAAAGAAAAACCAAGACAACAAAAAACAAAGAAAAAAAAACTTTTGACAGTGAAAAGTTTAAAGTGATTCTCTCTAGGGCTATGGAGCGAAATGATGAAGATTTTGTGATATTGAATAGATGCACTTCATTTGTACATTGCAATAAACACTATTCAGATGACTTCCCCGGGTAGAAGTGGCTACTCTGCTCAATGTGTTTCAATTGGAATCAAATTTAGTGATGCAGCAAGTGAGGAAGGAAGGAAATACAGGTGCACTTATTGCAGGAACACTTAAGACATATCTTTTTATCCTAGCAACAACAAATTATTTAGCATTATTTTTAAATCTTTTTAGCTACATTTAAAAATATATATATCTATATATATATATATATATATTATATATATATATTATATCATATATAATATATATATATATATATATATATATATATATAATATAAAAAAACATTTTTTGAAAAAATATAAAACCACATAACCAACCATTTGTTTTGTTTAGACATGCCCAATTCAGCTGGTAGGCAAAATTAGGAACAATGTGCAAAACATTTATTTGTAACTAAAAAAAAGTATTATCATAAACTGAAATAGGTTTTGGAATAATTTAACACTCTGGAAACCAAAGAAGGATTGTTTGCAGAGTTAATCATTTAATTTTCCAGTTCAATTTTCAAGCTCAACAGACTGGAGTACACATTAATAGTGTAGGTGATATTTGATACATGACTATAGAATCGGCTGCTGACATTCTCCATCAAAACAGGAGATCCTGCAAGGAAGACTGTCTGACCTTGAATAAATGTCAGTGTTTTACAATAAAAATAACAATTATAATACGTCATATTATTACGTTTCCTAATTGACATATAGAATATAATAGACATAATAACTTAATAGACATATTTAGAATACTTAAAAAAATAAAAATTTGAATTTACACGGAATAAGTATGTACAAAGGTTGTTTCGAAAGTAAGGTAAATGAAGTGCTTATGGAAGCACCAAAATCTAAGTTGATAGACAGGCAATAAGTATTTTTTTACAGGAGTTGTTGCCATGATCCAGTGCAAGGTAGGATTGTCAGAATTGTCAAGTAATAAACTCACAAAAAAGTGCCTGCACCTTGCCAACAAAATTGTTTCATCAAGACAATGAATCTGCTCAATGACAAAATCAATTTACAAAAATTTCAAACATTGGATCATCCTCCCTATTCACCAAATGTTTTAACCCCCTCTGCCTTCCATTTGTCCACAAAAATGTCTTGGAAGATGATTTTCCAAAAACTGAAACCTTTCAGGGAGTAAATTGCTGTTTTGCAGATCCAACCAGATTATTTTACAAAACTGGCATATTGGCATACTGATAATCAGATTGTTTCCAGCTCAATGGAGATTACACAGACAAATAAAAGTAGTCAAACTTGCTAGTATTTGGGTTTTAATTTATCTTACTCAAACCATTTTCAAATGACCTTAATACCATCTGAATATTAAAAGTACTTAGAGATCATTACTTTGTATTATCATCATTGCTTCAACCTTGACTTTCAAGGAAAAATGCAATAAGACAGCACACAAAAGAATTACCTGAAAGCTTGCTAAGATGGTGTCCCACAAGAACCTTTTGGATCTGGGATCCATTCCTGTGCTGGGCTCATCCAAAAGGACAATGCGAGGATCCCCAGCCATGGCCATGGCAAAGCTCAGTTTCCGTCGTGTGCCACCAGAGCAGTGCTGAGTGAGTTTGCCAGCATGTTCCTGGATCTGCAGCCCTCCCAAATAGCTTTCCACCACCCTAAGATTTGACAGCAAATTAGTCATCACTACACAAAACAAAAACATAATGGATTTCACCTATGATACACACCTTTACCTCATATCAGTAGAGGGTTTGATAAATGAAAATGTCAGGAGCATGTCAGGTGTTGTGTTCTTTGATTAAATTTAGTGCAAAAGCATACTTTCTTTAAACAACATATAAGAATAAAGTCTTTCAATCAAAGCACACACTATTAAATATTATTATCTACACACTTTCTGGCAACATAAAGCCACTGTGCAGGAATGAATATGTTTGTTTCTATTCAATGAGAATCATGCATGTCTAGGCATTCTCATTAGTGGTTCCGCTCCTAGAATGAGTGTCATCCCCACTCCCTGCCTGCATTTGCACTTCAGTGGCTCACGTCTGGGTCTCAAGGTCAGGGAAAGTGTACAATGCAGTGCACAGCTGTTCTACTCTATCTTTACTATCGTATATTTTTAAACAGTACTTTACTTCATCATTTTCATCATTCTTCTTTACCATTTATATATCAGTGGGATGTAGTATGGTACCATATTATTCTAATGACCCCTGGCTACCACAGGTTTCCGATGCTTATGGCCTCATAAGCCTTGGTCCTTACCATACGTAATTAGCTGAATCGATTGCTGAATATCACTTAACTGTCTTTTTACAGTTCATTCTGCAAAAATAAATAGAAGCTCCAAATGATTACCTTGGAATGTCTTTCCTGGATACTCCACGAATGGCACAGTAACATTCCAAGTGCTCTCGAATAGTAATATCTTTCCATTGTGCATCAAATTGTGGGCAATAACCAAGCACCATGAAGGCTTTTCCCAAACTTGAAGTCACAGTGTGGCCAGCAATTTGTACCTTTAAAAAGAAAGTAGAAGACTTAAAGACAAGAAAACACATTTCAACAAAGTATACTAAGTTATTTGAAAGCAAGTAGGTAGTCAGAATAATTATAGTGTTAGATATGAGACTAGGAATACTAGAAAAAACAATTCTAGGAATGTAAAAAATATCTGTTCTTAAGAAACAGTTATAGGTAAACATGACATGTGGGCTAGAGAAAGAAAGATTGATACACAGAGATAGAGGGAGCGAGTGACAAGAGGGGGAGGGAAAAAGGGAGGGAGGAGAGAGAGGGAGGGAGGAGAGAGGGAGGGGGAGAGAGGCACCCACGAGTAGCACCTCGCAACATAAACCATCTTGTTACAGTCAACCATCTTTCAGCCTGCGGATTCAGAGATATTTGCACAATTCAGATCTAAAAGTGATATTAGCAGAATGGTGAAAACGATAAAGAGATCTATGTCACAATGTATTCAAAATGGTATGGAATTGTCATTGTGATATATAATTACAATCAAATAATTATTTTGGACAAATACTATTAACTCCACGGCCACTCAGTGAGACAAGCCAAATTATTAGGGTCAGGCACCAATTATCGTTCCCTGTGCATAATATCACCTATTCGTGTTTCTGTGGTGCCAAGGCACTCCACATTGTTTCTTATGTGGAAACTTATGGGTTGTGGTATATAGTACCATGCAGCACTTTAACATTTAATCGTAATCTTTTTTCGTAAAATCAACAATTGGTGTCTGAAGGTTATTTAGCCTTGTGGAAGCTATTTCTCTCTTCTGCATCAATCAAGTATATTTAAGGTAACGTCAAGTTCATATCACAATTTAGATAATACATAAACTAATAGTGCTTAAATTAAGCCGAATAAAAAAAGTAATATACTCCATGATGTATTTTTTAGTACTGAAAAAACTCTGTTTCTGATGCTTAGTAATTTGCATTTAGTCGTTACCTAAAGAATGTGTTCATAGCAATCGTCTATCAGCAATATCCAACTTCCACCTAGGTAGGCAAAACTTAGATAATTTTATATTTTTTATTATTTTCTCATGCGCAATTTTTGAAATAAATATAAATAAAAATAAAATTCCCTAGATATGAAATATAAATGAAGAGGTCCTGAACATCAACCGATTTTAGAAGCTATTTACTATATACAGGCTCCATGGAGTGTGAAAGACCAATCATAAAAAGTATTAACTTTTGATGCATCGGGGTCTTCACAGAAATCCTACTGTCATAGCTAGAAAAAGGAAAATAGCTGCCTGTAAATTCGGTTGATGTGCAGCCACCATAATGACAGAATTTATTCATTTTGTCACCAGTGAATGATGACATGTTGGCCATAGCAGATTGGATATTAAAACACATAAGCCAGAATGCAAAGAAAACCTATCTAACGCCCATCTGATTCAATAAATGATACAGTGATGTAGTGTGGATCAGGTATCACCTCAGGGTATAAGAGTGGTACCTCAATAAAACCACCTTCATGAAAATGAATGGGTGGAGAGAGGTGTAGTTTTAACCAGCACACTCTCCATACAGAAAAAAGCTGGAAAACTTTTTTATGAAAAGCAAAAATAGTTTGCTAAAAGTCCTCAAGCCCACCACCAGTTGAAAAGCAAAGAAACAATGTTGCCATAAAAAGAACAACCAAGACAACAAAAAACAAAGAAAAAAAAACTTTTGACAGGTGAAAAAAAAGTTTTAAGTGATTCTCCTCTAGGGCATGGCAGCGAAAATGATTGAAGATTATTTGTGAATATTGAATAGATGCACTTCATTTGTACATTGCAATAAACACTATTCAGATGACTTCCCCGGGTAGAAGTGGCTACTCTGCCTCATGTGTTTCCACATTGGAATCAATTTAGTTGATTGCAGCAAGTGAGCGAAGGAAGGAATACAGGTGCACTTATTGCAGGAACACTTAAGACATATCTTTTATCTAGCAACAACAAATAGTGTTTGGCATTATCTTTAAATCTTTTTTAGGCTACATTTTAAAAAATATATATATAGTATATAATATATATAGTATATATATATATATATAAACAACTAGCATAGTATATATATATATATTATATATATATATTATATAAAAAACATTTTTTGAAAAAATATAAAACCACATAACCAACCATTTGGTTTTGTTTAGACATCCCTACCCCAATTCCAGCTGGGTAGGCAATTTAGAACCAATGTGCAAAACATTTAAATTTGTAACTAAAAAAAGTATGTATCATAAACTGAAATAGGTTTTGGAATAATTTAACACTCTGCAAAACCAAAGGGAAGGATTGGTCTTGGCAGAGTTAATCATTATTTCCAGTTCAAGTTTCCAAACCAACAGACTGGGATACACATTAATAGTGTAGGTGATATGTGATACACTGACTATAGAATACGGCTTGCTGAACCTCCATCAAAACAGGAGAACCCTGCAAGGAAGCACTGGTCTGACCTGAAAAATCATGTTTAATAAAAATAACAATTAAAATACGTCATATTATTAGCGTTTCCTAATTGACATATAGAATATAATAGACATATACTTAAAATAAGACCAAATATTTTAGAAGAATACTTTAAAAAAATAAAAATTTGAATTTACAGCGAATAAGTATGTACAACAGTTGTTTCGAAAGTAAGGGTAACATTGAAAAGTGCTTTATGGAAGCACAAAATCTAAAGTTGATAGACAGGCAATAAGTATTTTTTACAGGAGTTGTTGGCCATGATCCAGTGCAAGTAGGATTGGTCAGAATTGTTCAAAGTAATAAACTCACGAAAAAAGTGCCCTGCACCGTTGCCTAACAAAAATTGGTTTTCATCAAGAACAATGAATCTGGCTCAATGACAAAATCAATTTACAAAAATTTCACAACATTGGCATCATCCTCCCTATTCACCAAATGTTTTAACCCCCTCTGCTTCATTTGTCCACAAAAATGTCTTGGAAGATGATTTTCCAAAACTGAAACCTTTCAGGGAGTAAAATTGCCTGTTTTGCAGATCCAACAGATTATTTTTCAAAAACTGGCATATTGGCATACTGATAATCAGATTGTTTCCAGCTCAATGGAGATTACACAGACCAAATAAAAGTAGTCAACTTGCTAGTATTTGGGTTTTAATTTATTCTTACTCAAGACCATTTTCAATGACCTTGACTACCATCTGAATATTAACATAGTACTTAGAGATCATTACTTTGTATTATCATTCATTGGCTTCAAACCTGACTTTCAAGGAAAAATGCAATAAGACAGCAACGACAAAAGATTACCTGAAAGCTGCTAAGATGGTGTCCCACAAAGAACCTTTTCTGGATCTGGGATCCATTCTGGTGACTGGCTTCATACCAAAAGGGACAGATGCGAGGATCCGCCAGCCATGGCCATGGCAAAGCTCAGTTTCCGTCGTGGTGCCACCAGAGCCAGTGCTGAGTTGAGTTTGCCAAGCATGTTCCTTGGATCTGAGCCCTCCCAAATAGCTTTCCCACCACCTAAATTTGACAGGCAAATTAGTTCATCACAACAGAAACAAAAACATAAATGGATTTCACCTATGATACACACCTTTACCTCATATCAGTAGAGGGTTTGATAAATGAAAATGTCAGGTAGCATGCAGGGGTGTTGTGTGTTCTTTGCATCATAAATTTAGTGACAAAAGCTATACTTTCTTTAACAACATATAAGACATAAAGTCTTCATCAAAGCACACACTATATAATATATTCATTATCCTACACACTTCTGGCAACATACAAGGCCAACTGTGGCAGGAATATATGTTTGTTTCTATTTCAAATGAGAATCAGTGCTACTGTCTATGCATTCTCATCTAGTGTTCCGCTCCTAGAATGAGTGTCATCCCACTCCCTGCCTGCATTTTGCACTTCAGATGGCTCACGTCTGGTCTCAAGGTTCAGGGAAAGTAGTACATGCAGTGCACAGCTGCTTCTACTCTATCTTTACTATCGTATATTGTTAAACCAGTAACTTTAACTTCATCATTTTCATCATTCTTCTTACCATTTATATCATCAGTGGGATGTAGTATGGTACCATATTATTCCTAATGAACCCCTGGCTACCACAGGTTTCCGATGCTTATGGCCTCATAAAGCCTTGGTTACCACGTAATTAGCGCTCGACATCGATTTGCTTGTAATATCACTAACTGTCTTTTTACAGTTCATTCTGCAACAAATAAAATAGAAGCTCCAAATGATTCCTTGGAATGTTTGGATCCCGAGGCCAGTAACATTCCAGTGCTCTCGAAAGTAAATATCTTCCATTGTGCATCAATTGGTGGGCAATAACCAAGCACCATGAAGGCTTTTCCCAAACCTATGCAAGTCACATGGGAGCCAGCAATTTGTACCTCTTTAAAAAGAAAAGTAGAAGACTTAAAGACAAGAAAACACATTTACAACAAAGTATATACCTACAGTTATTTGAAAGGCAAGTAGGTAGTCAGAAAATTATAGTGTTAGATATGAACTAGGAATACTAGAAAAACAATTCTAGGAATGTAAAAAATATCTCGTTCTACGAAATTAGTCTAGAACTGATAGACGATGTACATTATGGTCAGCAGACAGTGCGAGGCGAGGTAAAATGTGGGCCTAGAGAAGAAAGATTGATACCACGAGATAGTAAGGGAGCCGAGTGACAAGAGGGGAGGGAAAAAGGGAGCGGTGAGAGGGGGAGGAGGAGAGAGGGAGGGAGGAGCAAGGGAGGGGGGAGAGAGAGGGAGGGGGGCAAGAGGGAGGGGGGAGAGAGAGGGGAGGGGGGAGAGAGAGGGAGGGGGGAGAGAGAGGAGGCGGGCGAGAGAGGGAGGGGGGAGCAGAGGGAGGGGGGAGAGAGATGGGAGGGGGGGAGAGAGAAGGGAGGGGGAGAGAGAGAAAGAGTGAGAGAGGGGAGGCTGAAATTACGCCATTTAAATTTCATTGAGAAAACAAATGGTTTACGGTTACAGCACAACAAATATTGTTTTGGAAAAAATAGTATTCAATGAGATCAGGTGGGATTAAGAATACAAAAGAGCGTGTGCGTAAGAGGAGAGGGAGGGGACGGGGAGGAGGGAGAGGAAGGAGGGAAAGAGGGAGGCGGAGGGGGCGAGGGAGTGACGTAGGGGAGGGGCGGGGAGAAGGGAGGGGCGGGGGAGAGAGCTGGGAGGGGGAGAGAGAGGGAGGGGGAGAGGAGAGGGAAGGGGAGAGAAGAAGGGAGGGGTAAGAGAGAGGAGGGCGAGAGCGAGGGAGGGGAGAGAGGGGGAGGGGAGAGAGAGGGAGGGGAGAGAGGGAGGGGTGGGGAGAGGAAGGGGAGGGACGGGG